CAGGGCGCCGCCGCCGCCCGCGTAGGGCACCAGCGCCATGGCGGCGCCCCCGCCTCAGGGCCCGAGGGGATCGAGTTCCTGCGACCCGGAGAGGTTGTGGGGAGGGCGGCCTGCAAAAATGGGGAGCGTTGGCGTGAATGTATGGTCTGATCCACCACGTCGCCTCTTGTACACAGAGTGGCACTTAAACAGGAAAAAAAATATAGAGCAACCTGGTTTCACAAGAGAGCTGAGCGCCAAGTAAAACCCAAGATGCTTCTGGAGCCTCTGAAGAAGGAGGAAAAACTAGAAAGCTTTAGTTTCCACAGATTTGGCTCCTAAAGGTCAAGCTGGTGCTGCCGCACACCCAGCGCTGACCCCTCCTGGTTCCTCCTCTGCGAAGCCTGCGAGGGTGCCACGCTCCTAAAAGTCATGTTGGCCATCGCTTTCCTGCTGTGCAGCCTGGATGTGGATCTAGAGCCTTCATTTTAGGTGCCCAGATTTCTGATTAGTGCAAGCATTACCCTTTTAAACTCAAGCAGAACCCCAGTTTCAGAAAGTGCTTTTATATTTTTATGTGTAGCAGCATTAGCAGTGTCTCCTCGACTCCAGTCTTCAGGCACTGGAGACGCACAAGAGAGGCAAAGCAACACGCAAGTCTAAGCGACTTCAGGTACCCGAAGAAGCTCTTTGGAGCCCCCCTCTGGTATTTGGTGTCCGAAGGATGGCATTAAACCTTTACAAGTGCTAAAACACTCGAAAGCATTTACCCTTTCTTCACCGGAAAGCTGCGTGCCCGATACAGTCACTGCCAGCCAACAGCAGCACAGATGACAAAAGAAAATGTGAAAACTTGGGGTTTCTAAAAATCATGTACTCTGAATAAACCCGCTGGTTACTTTTTTCCTAGTCTAATGAAAATACTGGAATTCCTATTTCCCTAGCTACTGCTCTGCTTCGGGCTTTTTTCCCTTAAATGGCCGCAGTCTTCTGTTACTTGCCCGCTCCAGAGGACAATCATTCTTGCAATATTTTTGTCCTGTCAGCTGGTAGCCGATTTCAAAACAGGATGCCTGTTTTTCCACCCATTATTTGCAGCAGTGAGACACACAGCTCCCAGCTTTTGTTCTCCCTCGGTTATACAGGTTCAACCTAGTGATTCATTTTTCCTGCAGCTACGTTTCCAGGAAAAGACAATGTCCTGGCTCTCCTCCAAGTTATCCATAGGCCGCTTGAGAGTAAGATCAGAAAGCAGAGAGCCTTCTCCAGCAGCTGAGATACTTTCTAAGGGGGCAGATGAACAAAACACACCCCGAAGCCAGTGTTATCTTCCTAGAGACAAGCAGGGAAGCCCAGGGCCTTGGGACAGCATGCTCAGTACTAAGCCAAGGTGAAGGTAATGGTAGGATTTACACGATTTAAAAGTCTTGGCCCTGTGAAACACAACCAGACTTTTGCAAAGATTTTTTTTTCCCTTTTCCAGGGTTGCTGGTGACCGTAAACCATGTGGCTTTAAGCATACCCTACACTTTTATTTCCAGGGTCCCCATTCAACAACTCTCCGCTTCTTGTTGCAGTGAGTGTGGGCTAAACCACACAAGTTTTTCAAGAGGTTTTATTCAGGCAGGAGCTCCTACCTATGGTTTCTGACATCTCAAAGAGGGAGCAAAGCAAAACACACATAACTCAACCTGCAAGTAACCACAGTAAGGAGAGCCGCAGGTGGAAAGCGTAAAGACTTGTCTGAGAAGCAGGATCCCTTTGAACCCGGGCAGCCAGCGCGCTCGTGCATGGAGCCAGCGGGCCCAGCGAGGAGACACAATTATGTTTGCTGGAGAACCCACAAGCCAAAATGCAGCTCGTGGTGCTAACGTGAGTCCTGTCGAGCCTGACGGCCTTCGTTTGTTCTGCATCCTGTAGATAATCGTACGTGTAGCTGAGCTCACAGCACCAAACCGCGCGCAGGGCACGGCAGGCTAAGTTTTTTAGAGCAGCTGCCCTGCTTTGGCGTGCAGCAGGAACGAGCCTGGGCCTCTGCACCTGCACATCGAACCGCGGGCCTTCGTCACCTCAACGCGGCAGGACACGGGCTGCCGGTCCTCCTGTCACCGCGGGCCCACCACGCTTCACCCTGGAGCGTCCCTGAAAGCCGTGTGAAGGTCTCCCGGCGGCTACACCAGCTTCCCCAAAGGACTTACACTAGGATTCATTTCTCAGATTGTGGAAAGACACTTCTTTCCCTTTGGGGAAAGTTAAAACGAGCATGCAGCCTTCCCAAAACACCCTCTGGCTCCAAAGCAACAGAATTACTTTTCACCTTCATGAAAGCAAGGTTCAAACTAAAAAAAAAAAAAAAAAGTGTTGGGCACCCATCATGCTGCCTGGGCATGGTTTGCTGGTGGGGAAGGACCAAGGAGGGTAAGTGAAACGGGAAAAGTGTGTGGAGAAACCAGGACGCCTTCACTGAAGACCTGCTTAACTTATCTTTATACTCCTGTCATCAGCATGGGTCAATAAAATCCCTTGTTGCATTATGCTCTAAAATCAGCCCATCTGCAAACACGGCCCCAGCACGAGGTGGGGACAACCTTGTAACTAATGGGGAACACTTCGAGCAGATGGGAAAAAACATCCAATCCACCAGACTGTGTAAAAACAAAAATTTGCTGTTCCTGAGTTGCTCTCCGTTGATTTTGCTATTGTAGGGAGAGACAGTGCAGGGCAAGAGCCCTCTCACAAAGCAGGAGGACACGCGGCTGCATCTCAAA